TCCAGTCAATTAGACAGTTGACATGAAAATTAGCTGTATTGGGGAAAAAGTCAACCATGAACAATTTACAGTCAAACCTCATAATTTTTTATCCACATCAACATTATAGACTCATATGAACCATTTGATCAAGTTTGGACCATAACTCCTCAAGAAATTTGATCAAATCATCAAAAGGGCAAAATGGTCAAAATTAGGGTTTTGACTGAGAAAGGGCAATTTATGATTTTTAACCTAGCCAATGACCAATTAGGGTCAAGCATGATTTCAAGGATCCAATGGCATCATCTTGACCTAATCACAAGGTTCAAAATATCTCAAGTACATAGGATTGACAAATGAATTTGCCAGTCAACTGATCAAAAATCAACTGTACACTGAAAAGTCCAATTTTGACTTTTTGGTCAAAATCAAGTGCCAAGGGTCATAATTCATCAAAACGTGTCAAAATGTGAAACTTGTTGACCAAGAAACCTAAAATTGCAAATTAGGGTTTTAATTTGAAATTTTTCATAACTTAGAATTTTTCTAAGTATGAAAAATTTCTTATTTTTTCCCAACTTTGCCCAACTTTTTCACCATGATGCATTTGGATTAAAAGAAAACTTCCAACATTAAAGTTGTAGTCCTTCACAAAATCTACAACTTTGATTCACAAAGTTTTCCCAAAATATGTTTGGATCTCAAGTTATGATTTTGTGAATAGGGGTCCATAAACTTTTTAACTTGGTGAAAAATTGCCCTAATTTAGGCAGGTTTTTGACCTAACTTCATGGACATTTTTCACCTAGTTCCAAGAGGTATCTCAAAATGCATTTCAAAGATGTATTGTAGAGCATGTTACAAGCTTTACAAAATTTCCAAGAACTCTCCAAGATCATTTGTGGTTAGGGAGAATCGAAGAAGAGAAAATGGCAATTTGTCACTTTTGTTCAAGCCATTTTCACAATGTTACAAGTTGCAAATCAGATCCTAGCATGTTTGTACCTCACATTACAGGTCCTAATCCCTTCTACACTCCATAATTAAATGCAAACTCAATGGATAATGGCTTTGTTTTTACTTTTGAAGCATTGCACAATGAATTATTCCAAAAATGGCATAAAGTTCATAATACTACTTTGATAAAGCAAGCCTTTTTGCAACTTTACATTTCTTGAGCCATGGACCTGATCTTTGGTTGCAAGCAAGATTCACAAACATCAGGCAAAGTATACCAACTCTCTGCAGTCCACAAGCTAGCCTGTACAGGCCTTTGGCATTGTCACTTTCAACTTTCTTCAAAAGCAAGCAAATTGGCAAAAGTCAAGATAACGTGTGTATCTGATAAAGAGAAGGCTTGGCTTCATTTCAAAGAACTTCAGAAACTTGTTGCAAGCCAATACACAATTTCCTAACATCCCAAACACAAAAAACACCAATTTCTGCCCAAACAGGGCATCTTCTGCAGAACCCTTGCCAAATCTATATTGGCTCGTGCGTTTCTTGTTTCAAGGCTTCAAACACTTTACATACATCCTACCTAAGTTGTCCAGGCCCTTGTCTTGCAACTGTAACCCCTATTTCAAGCTTCACCATTTTCATTTTTGAAGGTTGCAGGTTGACTTCTACAAGGAGTTTCAAGCATTCTCAAGGCAAGCTGAGCATTGGAAAAGCTTGAGGGAACTTCAAGGAAGCTCACACGATCTTCAGGCCTCACTCAAAGTCCCTACATTGCCATATCCAAATTCACCTGAACAAGGTATTTTTCAAAATTCTATCTCTCTATTTAGGCATCCTTAAGCTTTGGTTTGTGAAGCAAAAATATAGTCCTTAACTTGCTTAAGTTGTACATATGCATACTTTCCATTTATATTAACTGAGTAATAAGAATTTTAAGTTTGAAGTTCATGAAAAAACTAGGTCAGAAATTAGGGGTGATTAAATTCTCCATGATCCTTGAGAGTTAGATTATGTTTTTTATATCACTGGAATCGTGAGATCATGAGTTACATGTTTTGTGTTAGGGGTTTTTTCTTTTGTGCACGTATGTGAGAGTTGCAGGTTTGTACATGGGATGCGCGCACGAAGCCAAGGACATGGATGAAGTTGGTGTTCTGGGCCTGGCGCCTTGGGCCTGTTACTTTTCACACCCCCATGTTTCCTATTTGCACCCCATGACCTATTTTCTTATATTTTTCATATTTTCTTTTCATTTTTATATTTATTTCTTTTATTTATTTTTTTGAACATGAAAAAATCTTGAAAAATATTTTCTTTATTTTTTTCATTTTATTTTATTTTTTATTATTTTTTGGCATAAAAAATAGTTTATTAGCTATAATATACTTTATTTTCTTGAATAAATTGTGAATATATTTAAATAAATACTATACATTTTTATTTTTATTGTTCATACACATAAAATATTATTTCCATATATATTTTAATTTTTAATACTTGTAAATAATTTTATTTATTATTCCTTGTAAAAAATGGGCAAATAAATAATAGAAAATATAACTTTCTTTTAAACCAAAAAATTAGGGTTTCCCCTTTCAAAAAATAATAATATAATTTTTTCTTATTTTTTAGGACTTAAATAATTTATTCTTATCATACATAAAATAAATACAAAAACATTTTGCATCCATACATTTTATTTGCATATTTAAATAATTGTATGTTTATTTATTTATTGTGCAATAATTCAATTTGGTTGTAATAATTTTTAGGGTTTTATTTTGAGCAACATCCCCCATTCAAAACTTGTATCCCCCCTCCCATAATATTGTTGTAATAGCTTAGATTTACTTTACGCAACTTATCGCATTATATACATGTTTAGTAAATTAGGGTTTGTATGATAAGACAAAAAAAAATCAAACAAATAGCAAGACCTAATACAAGACAAACAAATGCATGAAAATGACAACACATTTCACACAAGTACTCCTTAGGGTTTCACCCACTTTGTTGCCTTAAAAATGACCATGGTATGCATGCAAGGTATCTTGGCAAAAATCAAACAAAACAAAAGATCATAGTCCCTCGATGACGCTATCAAAAGGTGGCCTAAACAAAGATGATCTTGGTCCCTAAAACTTGCTAAGATATTTGACACCATTGCTATCATGGTCATACGATGACCCACGCCTGTCCCGTTTAACATCCAAAGATAGGGTTGTCTACTAAAACAATAGTAGGTCAACAATGTCAAAGGAATAAAAATGTACAAGAAAGACTTTTGAGTAGGTAGATAGCTTCTAGTTACTTGATCAATTTTCAAAAAATCCTTCCTATTTTCAAAAACAATCACACACATTTCAAAACATTTCCAAAACAACTTTCAAAACATTGAAACATTTTTCAAAAGACAAAACATCTTTGTATACATTCTTACGAACAAGAATCATTACAAAGATTGCCAAAACGATGGCCTCTTTTCAAAATACTTTCAAAACCACGCAAAGCACCATTTCAAACAATTGGAAAAGCAAAGCAAGTGATCTAAACAAGTAACTAAGTGCCCATGGAAAACCATGGATGAAAAGGGTGCTAGCACCTTCCCTTTTCATAATCTACCCCCCGAACTCAAGAAAACATCTCAAAGGTCTTTCCTGTGCTTTTTTACCTTTCCTTTTGGATAAAATAAAAGTCGGTGGCGACTCTTGCTAAACCGAAACATTTGCGACGAAACGCAAAACCTCAAGTCAATTCTCCCACCGTATCACACACACACACACAATCATAGTACCAAGAACAATGACCATACATCTGACATCCTGATGTGGGCCCCTCATCATCTCACCTTAGCCCAGACATTGGCCAACCTGAAGAATATTCACCAACCAACCCAACTTACCATCAGCCATCTTTTCACCATAGCACCCAACAATCATAGTACCGGACTCCACAAGATTCATTTCCTTTTTACTCCCCTTATTCAGACGACCAGTGATATCGACCCCCCATGGAATGTCACCCCTAACCAATATGACCAAACTTTGAGGGCATGGGTAACCGACTATTTGAAAAAGGATCTTCTAGATATCCTGATCTAACGACTTTCATGGATTCTGAACGCATTGATGTCACAAGGCCCTCGATACAACCGCAACAGGAAATACGTCGAAATGCACCACGAGTTAGGAGAGGACGCATGTGAGGAACTATGGGTCGTTATAGATTCCCTGGAGACAACTAAATAATGTGTAATATTTACTCTCATTATGTAATCGTTTAATTATTATTGAAAATCAACTTTCATTTGCAACGACATTGTCTTTTAATTCTTTAACAGAAAAATAAAATAAAAATAACTTTGTACCTAGGCGCCATCTGAGATGGCTTAAGGAAAATGGCATGCGCCATCTCACTTGGCGCCTCCTTTAAAAAAATAAATGCATGCACCATCTGAGATGGCTACTGCATTATAACATTTTCTGAAACATGATTATTTGCGTAATTTTCTCCGAAACGTAGTTATTTGTGTTTTTTTTTTAAAACATAGTTATTACTAAAAAAAAATCATAATTTGAGGAAGTGTTAAATAGGTCCAAGAGGTTCAAGTCCTAGAACTAAACCATAGTCTAAAAAAATAATACAACAATCACAACAATCACAATTAAATTTGTTATTCACACAATTAAATGAAGAAAAGAAAAATAAAAAATAAGGCCATCAATAGTAGAATCTAAACGTGTAGAGAGGTACAAAGGAAGTAATAGCATATAATTTGACCTATTCAAAACCCTATTAGAATCTAACACTTGTCATTGTTAAATAAAATAAAATAAAAAAGAAAAAAAAAAGATAAGAAAGCCATATGCAAAAGAATTCCATAACTTCATCTTTCTCTTTCAAAGGGGCCGATTTCCCCTCTCTTCTCAATCGATCTTTGTTCTCCCTTTTTATAGAAATAACAAAAAAAAAATTAACTATTAAAACAAACATACTGTAAAAAAGAAGCTATGGAAAAGTGAAAATAAATCGTAAATCGTAAGATTACCGACGGATCCATGATCTGGAGTAGGGCTTGCGACATGACGACGCAGGGCTTCACGGTGATCAGAGGTGATGATGCAGCGGTGATGTTGTTGCAGGGCGGTGGATGCACGGTGGCAGCGTAGGGGGTTCGTGCCGTTGTATCAGATGTGGATGTGCGTGTGCGGAGGGTTGATGGATCTGTGCGACAGATCTGCAGAGGTGGACAGATGAAGTTGTAGGCATGTTGTGATCTGTACAGGTGGCTGCGTGGAGACGTGATGGTTTCTCGGCTTAGTGGTGGTGAGCTGGTGGAATCGCGTGGGTGTGGTGCCGCTGGGTCGCGATTCAGAAGAGGGATGGCTTGTCTCGGCTTTGAGCGACTACTGCAAATTATTCTTCAGCCTTCTTCTCTTCTCTTTTTTCTGTGACAAACTTTGTTTGAATACATAAAAATGAAAGTGATGATGGTGATTTCCTTTTTTAGTCAAAACAAGAAAAAATACCCTCATTCCAGATTAACTAAACTGAGGATTATGCTGAAAAAGTATTTTTTTTTCGACTGAACCCAAAAAAAAAGTTTTCTTGTGGAATTTAATGGATGATACATAAGCAGAGGGAATTGGAAAAGGGACTTTGTATGTAGAGGAAGAAGATGTTTGAAATTGTTGAAAAATATACAAAGTTTGTGTGTCAAGTCCTTGTACATGTGTCTAGAATTTTGGTGAGAAATATGTACAAAGGCTAATAGAATTTTTGTGTGTCAAGTCTTTGTAAACTATTATATATTTTTTAAGTAGGAAAAATAAATTGAAAATAAAAATAAAATATAAAAAATTATTGTAAATAAATCAAAAAAATTTATAAAAAATCAATTTTAAAAATTATTTGACTATAAGGCGGGTAAATTTGGGATATGACAACTAGAAATTTCAAAAAAACAGTTCTAGCAAAAATTAGGGATAACAAAGAAAAAACAAAAGAGGTCACCAAAATCCTCAATAAAAAGAAGATGAGTTAACCATTATATCAAAACCAAAGGTTCATCGAAGTCCTCAATGAAAACAACAAAATGTTGTAAAGGAAGAAGTGGTTGTTATCTCACTATTTCAATTCCAAAAGTCTTTTGGAACCTGAATGCATAGGTTGAATTAGCTGAACATAGAATAGGAGATCATCACGAAGAATAGGGTGGGTTAAAATTAAATGTTTATCCTTATATCATTTCTTTCAAAAACCGTGAATCATGCCACATTACAACTCTCAAAAGACCTAATTAGAGCTAGGTTATTTTGAAAGCATACTACAGTAAGGTTCCGTAAAATGACTCCAAAGAATTTGCTAATCATTGTCTTAGTATCATACCTAGGGGTGTTCGCGGTTCGGTTTGGATCGGTTTTAAGATAAAAAATCATCTGATCCAAAGATAAATTTACTTGCGATTCGGTTCGGTTTTGGATGATATATTAAAAAAATCCAATCCGATCCGATCCAATTTTATGCGATTTAATTTGGATCGGTTTTTGGATATCCAAATTACACATTATATTTTTATTAATATTATAAAACTACTAATAAATCATAGATTTGATATAATATATAACATATAGTATACTAAAAGTTAATATTACAAAATGAGAGTGGTTGATTATGATTGAAATAATAAAAATAAATAAATTATACCAAGCTAATAACTATTATTAAAAAAATTATTATCATCTAATAATAATTTCACATAGCATATCATACTAATAAAAAGTAAATAAGTATAAAAATATATGTATGCGGTTTGGTTTGGTTTGGATCGGTTTTGAAAAATTAATCCGAAATCCGATCCGAACTGATCAGTTTTCACAAAATAACATCCAAACACATCCAATAAATTTCAGTTTTTTGCGGTTTTCGGTTTTTTGGATCGGTTTTCAGTTTTTTATTTGGATTAGTTTGGATTTGAACACCCCTAACCATACCTTCGTATTATCTTTCACTTTGACTATCTAAACCAATATTTCATTTTGACCAGTGATCCATTTGATGTACATCAATAATATCATTCTAATAATGATTTTGATTTCAAAAATTGCACGAGCATTGCATTAAAATTACCATTTTTGAATGAACAGTTTTATTTGCAAGTATGCATTAATCATAAAGGAAGTTCAAACAGTTGAGAAACTTGGTTAGTGATCTTATCAAGGGTAATTCACTTCAAGATCCTGTTGATTAGAGAAAATCAGTTTAAGACCTGTCGGTCATGGCAAACAGTTTTGAGAATTGGCTAACCAATAGAAGATCTCCTTCAAGACTCATGCTGAAGCAAGCGTTTCAAGCACACAGTAAAGCAATTATTTCAAAAATCAATCAATTTGGGGAAGTCTGCTTCAAGTAATCCCTAAGTACAATTCTTCAGTCCTTCCTCAAAGGATCATCAACATGATACAATTGACAGACATGACAGAATTTGTGTCCAAAATATCTTCCAAAAGCAGAGTTGACAGTGTTCCCTGTAGTGAGGAATCATAGTTCCAACCTTACCTCACAGAAGAGTCTTACTCAGTTTTCATAAACATTTGCATTGCATGCATAAATCATTCATACATCATGCATAGAAACAAAATTCAACATCATGCAAAGCTCAGAGTGTTTTTCACTCTCATTTGCATTCTCCCAAGTCTTGTTGTTATCAACATCTTACCTTGTGGTCAAAGTCCAACTTATTTGGCACCACCAAAGCATATTTTTATCCTTATGGTTCAATTCTTCTGTGTTTTATCCAATGTTCTTCCAAATATATCATGTATGTCCGATGTTCTCTGGATATGTTTGTGGTTTTGATGTTCTTCCAGAACCTTGTTTGGCATATCTGATACTTTTCCAAATATGTCATGTCTTCCAATGTTTTCCTGATGTGTGTTGTTCTAATGTTTTTCAAGAAACCTTTTGTGTTTACTCAATGTTCTTCCGGATATGTTTGATGTTTTGATGTTTTTCCAGAACATGTTCCACTACATTCAATGCTCTTCTGAATGTTTCTGATGTATCTTCAAAGTCTATTCCCGTACATTCAATTCTTTTTTGGATGTTTCGGATGTATCTCCAGGATCATTCCTTTGCATCCAACACTTTTCTAGATGGGTTCAATATATCTCTGAGTTTGGTCAACATCTCGGTCCAATGCTTTTCTGGATGCTTTTGAGTTTGTTTCCCTTTCATCCAATTATTTTTTGGATGACTTCAATATCTTTGAGCTTGGATAACATTCCTTTCATCCAATGCTTTTGTGGATGTTCTCGGGTTTTTTCCTCTCCATCCAATTCTTTTCTGGATGTCTACTTAAATATTCAAATTGGTTTCCTTTCATTCATTACTTTTTTGGATGTATCTGATGTATTTCCGGGGATTATGTCTTATTTTTGCATTTAATGTTTTTCTGAATGTCTCTATGGGTTTCCTTTTTATCCAATGCTCTTCAGGATGTCTCCGAATTTTCCTAGAGTTTGGATTCCTTTTCCATCCAAATTTTTTCTGGATGTTTCTGTTGTATTTTCCAGAGTTCAATCAATGCTCTTCTGAATGTCTCTGATGTATCCTCAGATTGATTTCTTGTCCATCCAATGCTCTTCTGTATTATGTTTTCCAAAGTTCATTTAATGTTATTCTGAATGTATCTGATAATTGGTTATGTATTTTCCAGATTTCATTCAATGCTCTTCTGAATTTCTTTGATGATTGGTTCTGATGTTTTCCAGAGTTACATTCAATATTTTTCTGAATGTCTATGATGATTGTTTCCTTTTTCATAGTGAAGTTGCCATGCTTTTCTGGATGTTCCCGATGTGTTCCCCAGTGAAACCTATGATATATATTCATATTTGGTATCATTCCATATCTAATGGTTTTCTAGATGTTTCTGATGTATTTTCAAGAGTGTGGTTGCCTTTTGTATCCAATGTTGTTCTGGATGTCCTTATTGACTTTCAGGGTTTATCCCTTTTATCCCATGTTGTGCTGGATATTCATTGATATTCTGACTTATCTTCGGGATATCTTGTTTTCCCCAATAAGTCTTTTACCTCATCCAATCTCTAGTAAAATTTCCTTTTCGGGTCGTGTCCATAAGTTCCACAGAGTTTGTCTCTCATATCATATCCCAGTAAAAAAAAGTCATGAATTCATCCATAGCATAACATGTCATCGCGTTGCATCAAGGGATAAAAATTTCCTACTTTGATACTTAATTACCTCTCACTATGACTATATGAAGAATGATCTTCTTCATATACTCTGGTTGAAGTAACTTTAAATAGGGCAGTTGTTATACCCCCATTTTTGCCCCTTACCATTTCATACATTCATTCATCTAATGAAAGAAGTCAAGAGTTTGTTACAGTACATCATCATTTCATCTGCATAATCAGAAGTCAAAGAGCTTGGCTTTTCAATCTTTAGTTCCTTGTTTTCCTTTTTTCATAGTTGAATTTGCTTCAATTGAGTTTAGAAGTTTTAGTTGAATTTATATGTTTAATTGAATTTGCAACATTTATTTGAAATTACATTTAACTTTTATTTGAGTTTGCATTTTGCATTTTGTATGTGCATGTCTAATAATAATTTGCATTTTTTATTTGCATTTTCTTTAAAAAAAAAGACTTATTTTATAATAGGATAACATTTGATTTAAATGTTAAGTAAGTCAAAGTAGAAACAATTGTGTGATTCAGCAGGTCATGTTTCACGTGAGTTGAAGTTGGCTATCTTCAGTAATATTCATATAACCACACAACATATTGCACTTCAATTTCTCACATATCATTTTTTTCCATTCAAGTTTACATTACAACAAACTCAAAATCACAAAAGAATTTTATTTACATCAAATCCACACCACACTTTTGAATCTTATCAAGGGTTGAAATCTTAGTTCAAAACATTGCCAAGGATCACACTGTTACTTCATTTGGTTTAAACAAAACTCGTAATTTTTTCCCTCAAAACTTGAATCAATCCACACCTTCAATTCAAAATCATCAAGGGCTTGAATCCATTTTCATATTGTCATGGGTTTCCTCCTATACCCCTACAAACTTCAACAAACTTTGATCCAGATTTCAAAAACTCCCTCTTAATTTTCATTCTTTCCCCCTCAAATCTCCCTCACTTTCTCATCTAGAATTTTTATCATCCTAATCCAATAAATAACAGCTTGAACCAATACACAAAGGGAGGAATAAAATTTTACATAAATGTTGCAGAAATATCAATAAGTCTTCCTCACACTAAACCACCATCCTCAACAACAAAACCTACACCTCACCATCCATCAAGTCCACAAGTAACACTCAACAATACCTTCAATTACATAAACATTTGCAACAACACACACACAACAAATTCAAACAACACCAACCTGCAATAGCTACAAAAGTCAAAT